GTGTGTTTGTGTGTGTGGGTGTGGTTTAGCAAGATAACTCGAGAAGCAGTGGATGGATTGGAATGAAACTTGGTAGGTAGGTAGGACTTCATTAGACCTAGAAATGATTAGATTTTGGGCCCCCTGGCGGCTTTGCTAGGTACTGCAGCTGAACTTCCGGTTTTGATATCTCATGTTCTGGACATGCTAGGGTCACGAATTTTGGTTGGTAGATAGCTCTTGGGGTAGGGAAGAAGTGACATGAGTTTGGGTCCCCTAGCGCCTTGTTCTGGAACTGCAGGGGCATTTGTTGAAAAAAAATTGAAGGACGATAACTCAAGAACCGGTTGACGTATTGTCGTGATTTTTGGTATGTAGGTAGTTGAAGTGATGTTTGACATAATCAGATGGCAATTATGCAAATCAGGAGCTAATTTGCATAATTAATGAGGAAATTCTATAAATCTGATTTGTTCGATAATAGAACTATGAAACAGTTGTGACATCTACTTGAGAACGAGAAAAACATCTGAGGATATAGATTATGTAAATGAGGACCTAATTTGCATAATTAATGGCAAATTCTTATAATTCCATAGTTGTAACTGCTGCACCCCGAATTTCATACTTGCTACATTTGGAAGTTAAGTGAAGGTGAACATTAATAAACATAATTTATTCAAATCATGACACCATTTGCATAATTTATGAGGAAGTGCTATAATAGCCTCTTTGTTATGATAAGGCTGTCATTGGGTGGAGAATATGATCAACTGATATAATCCATGCAAATGAGGCTCTTATTTACAAAATCAATGATTAAAATTGTAGAATTCGTCACACGCAAGGGTTAACATCTTTTGGCGAAGGTATGAGATCGTGGAACTCTTGTTTTATCTCAGGTGTCTTTTGCCAAAGGGCATTTTTTGTAAATCTGTACCTGCAGCTATACAGATTCAGATACAGCTGTAGCTTTGAGTATAGTCTAACATTCCTCTATAATATCATCAAGCCCCAGCATTAGAGTGCAAGCATGCTTAACCCTCAGGGGACAACAGATGATAAACCAGATAGAGAAAGAGGGAGAGAAGATTTGTTGAAAAAGAGGCGTTTTAACACACTGTATTGTATTTTTCTGCAGCCCAGCCCCTGTCCTTATAAAAAAGCCTTGCCTGGATGGAGCCATCTACCTGGATGATGAGGCCATCTTGCCTGTCACTCCTGATGAAGAGAACTTCACTCAGAGGAAAAACATCGCCAGACTGAACAGGGAAAAAAAAGAGTATGTTATGATGATATTGATTATATTGGTGTTAGTTAAAAAGCAAGCTATCATGTAAAGCAATGGGTACATTTTGTATGTTGTTTAAGTGTGGGTTATTTAAAAAAACATAATTGTGATTTGTTCAATCATCTCGAGAAATTCACAGCTAGTTATGTTCAGAATGTTTGGAGTATATTTTAACTGCTTAAACTGCCTATCTATACCAGGCATATCAAGTACAACATACTTTTCTTTATTTCAGGCATCCATGGCCCATATAATAGAAAACATACAAATAGGAAAAACACATGATAACAACAGTTAAAAATATATAAAATATATTGCGAAAAATCTGTTGCGGAAGATTACATCGGATTTGAGAACAGATTGGATCATGTTATTAGTCTGTGTTTCTTCTGCACTTATTTTCATAAGGACTTCAAATTACATACATGTAGGATTTGATACAGGGGTAGAGCTTTGATCTAATTTTCCTTTTGACAATACCTTCATATTTCTTTCCTTATTAATTTTAGGTTTGATTGGAAACCAGTCAAAACCACTTCAGTTGCAGAGACAGTGAAGAAGGTAAGGCATTGTGTCTGTAGATCAGTATATCCGTGTTTTGCAGTTTTGCTGGCATTTCAAATGTATACACAATGTACATGCAAAAACTTCAAGCAAAGTGAATATATCTAGAAGGATAAATGGATATATAATTATAAGGGGCTGTTATCTAAAGGAAACTGTAACTGGTAGAATGATTAAGACAAAAGTCTGTTTACTTATTGTGTGCACTCCCACTAAGGTCCCTGCATATATAAAGGAATTCTTCAAAGTTCTGATTCTGTTGTCTGTCCTTGTGTTAATAATACATGTATAAAGTATGTGTCGGTAAAAGTTAGACATCCAGGTAAGATACACCCAAAAAACAGTTACAACAAGCAACTGGATATGATTTATACGCTGACAGTTTCCAAAATCACAGCCATGTATACAGTATGTAAACTTACCTTGTCTATGTCATAACATCCTTATTTCTGCCTGTTGTTTGTAGGACCTGCGGGATATCGGGAACTTTGACCTCAGTCCCTTTCCACATCATCAGATGGGAGGCAAGACTATCAGGGAGACCAACCACAGATTCGGGGCCGTAAGTCAGGACTTAAGTCTTGTCTTGAACCATGTCTCGCTTTTAGTACTGATAGTATCCTCAAAAGGCTGTAAACATATGCAAGGGTGCAAAAAATAACACACACACATACTCGCGCACACACACACACACACACACACACACACACACACACACACACACACACACACACACACACACACACACACACACACAAAGAATAAAACTGGACCTCTCTTTGTGATCTGATATTTTGGACAGCAAACATTGATCTGATAATTTGGACTGCAAGGTTTTATTCGACATTAGGTCTTATTCAACACACTTATTTTATTGTTGTTACTCTCTTTATGTAGTTTGCCATACATTGTACCATGTGCAATTGTCGTGCAATAAAGTTCTGTATTTACTATTATGTAGCTATTGCACACATATTTTCTGTGTTTCGTCTTATATACTTTTAATGCAACTTCTATCAATATTAACAGGTACAATCATACTTTGATGTAAAATTTGTTCATTCCTTCATTGCAGGTCAACAAAGGATACAATGGTATGGGAGGCCATGAGAAGATAGTCAACCTTGTATCCTTTTCCGTCATACTACATGACATTTGTTTAGTCATGGCCGCTATGTTCCTCTCAGTAGCCTTATTCTAAGTTTCAAACTCATTCAAGATACATGTACCTGTAAGCATATACATGTATATTCTGACAAAATGATGTGGAATCTGTATCTGTATAGCCGGTATAACTGCCCTTCGGCATAACACACCAGCTTAAGAAATATTACCTTAGTAAAGCTAGTGTGCCATAGACAGAAAGAAAGATTTTCTTCATTCTTCAAGTGCTTAAAATAAGATACAATGTCGTAAAAGATACATTGTATAATGGTTACCATGTTTTTTACTTAAAATGAATGGAATGTCTACTGAATTCTCAACCAACAGATCAACAGCGTGGACCTAGAAGATTTCGACAAGCCCTGATTAAAACCTAAAGCTATTAAAAAGACAATAAAATGTCCTTAATAAATCCAACAGCAACCCAGAATAGGAAAGCCGCTGCCCAAGAAGTCCAAGTTTGTCAGCAGAAGCCGCTCGGCAGTGATGGCCAGGGACCCTGCCCTCCCTACTCTGGATGACTTCATCACATCCTGAAACTGGTACGCCCAAGCTACCGAAATGAACTTCCTACATTCCAGACTTCCTAACTTTTCAAAATGATTTCATCAGGTTGGTATTTCCTGGCATAGGATATACACAACCAGCACGTCGGCAGAACGTACTGCACCTGCGCGAAACCCGTAATGTATTATGCATAGCACTTCGGCAGAACGTCTCATATAAGGTTGTATTCGTGCATATAAGGTTAACACTCCACCTGTAGTTTCCAAATGTTCTGGCGGAAAAAATATTGACTGCAACAGGCAAAATTCTGATGCAACGTTGACTAAAAACCCAACGAACATCGTGAAAAATGGGGGTTTTGCGCAATCGCAGTACGTTCTGCCGATGTGCTTGATTTCATCAGGTTCGTATTTCCTGGCATAGGATATGCACAACCAGTAATTCTCTCACTTAAGCTTGCTTACGTGTCAATGCCTTAAAATCACACACATTTCTCAGATACTATGAACCTTCGCTGCCAATGTGTGTTAGCCACAACATACAGTACATACATTGTAGCTGTAGTTTTAAACTGGTAAACTTTTATTGCTCTTATGAACCAAGATGAACTAACTTAGGGTACTCATTTGTATAGAACTGTTTTTTTTTCAGGTCTGATGTAAGTTGAGGAATGTTAGAAGAATGATATTTATATTTTTCACTGAAACTTGTACAGTCCTAGTCCTATCTAGTTGTATATTCAATAGCATTACTGTATACATGTATAACTAAAACGTTGTAAGTAGAGTAGCAAAAGCTGTACAGTTTACTTGTTCTTTTCATCTGATTGTCAAACACATTTCCAACAAAGGATTACTGTTTTCAGATACAAAAGTTGAGTGTTAAAGTGGATATGTACACCCATAATGTATTGTGTATACTTTTAAAGGATCATTAAAGATAATTTATTGTGACTCATATCTAATTGTCTTTTTGATTTTGCAAGGACCCGTATCTAGAATTAGCCTGGGTACCATCCTGGTTAGTTAACGTCCGCTCCCACAGTTGGTAGCGACTGTGGGAGCGGACGTAAACTAACCAGGATGGTACCCAGGCTAATCTAGAATCAAACCTTTATTAATTATAGAAAATTTTTTTGATATGATGTTAATTAGGTAATAAATAAATACTACTATAACCACTAGACCTAGATGAGCTCTTTTGGTGAGAAGTCCATTCACAAAATTCAACAAACCCTGCATACTTATTAAAACTGTTTATTCTATTAAACATTATCAATACAAACAGACAACACTGGACAAGTCTGCCCACTTCGCAATCTTAAGTAAAAACCAGAGACATTGGACTATTAAAATGTTAGAAATTCACAGTACAAGTCAACAACGTGTACCCAAGATAAAATTATACACACAGTTTAAAAATGTTTCGTTGGTCTCATTACAAAATGTTGTTCAGCAAAGAGAGCTAAACCTCTACAGGCATGTTCAAAGCATTAAGTATAAACTACCGAACATCTACATGTAAATGACAATTGATACTATTAAGCAAAACAAGCTACATGCACTCATAATAAAAAATTGCTCACATTTGGGAGGAATCTAAAAGAAATCATCAACTTTTTCAGCAGTCTACAAAACTGGAGACTACACAGCTGCAGTACTCATCCAAACTGCTAGATGGCATTTGATGACTGCATAATTCCAACAAAATGGCAAACATCTTTATAACAAAGGGGAAACATGGGATTTGTATCTGTAATCATGACCTAAATTTTCTTTAAAAGTTTGCAACAACTGTCCCTTCAGAAGAGATAAAATCATACAATGTCATCTAAAATACACAAGTCCAACCTTGGGTTGACTATACACTCAGCAAGAATTATTTTAACACTGGCCTCTACAGTATGTGTGTGAACTTCCCGCATAACATCTTGGACAATAACAACAGTTTAAAACATTTCTGTAAATGCAATAAATACTCCTGTCTGGTGATCCGTAATCATACTAGATCAAACACTGTGCAATAGCAAACAGTGATTTTCCTCTGCAGCAACTTTTGTCGGACCCTCACAGTTGGCACAAAGGCTTACATACATGTACATACACTGTACTTGTATCTTTATACACATGAAGCCTTATACACATATTATCACAACTCTGATTATCTGGTACTATCTGTATTATCCACAAATAGTGCGTTAAATCGTAGGAAGCAAACGGGTATCTTGATTAATATAATCGTATCAATCTCTGTGCTACCAAAAATGTCCAGCTCTTCTGCCCAAAGTGTACCCCTTTGAGCACATACATGTAGAGAAGTCCACCAACAAATGTTACAAAATTTACATGACATATATACACATGGCTCCAGCCTCTCAATATTATAATGGTCTGAGGCAGTTTCAGATTAAATAGGTTTTCTATGGCACAAGGAAGTGGAAATGTCAAAACATCATATTCACACTAAGACAGCTACATGTAACGTTAGTAGAGAAGCTGAACACTTTTCTCTGATTTTTCCACAAATTCAGTATTCATGCATTGACACACTAGTGCGTGCTGTTAACAAAACTTTGAATTTACATTAATTTTTGAAAAATAAACATTAGAACTGTAACTTAAGGTGTATATGTACTTTCACTGCTAAGCTGCAGAATGTCTTGTAATGAAAGTTACAAGATTGGGGCAAACTCCTGACAAAGTATGCTGTATTGGCCTGACATACTTGGACTCAAAACAGTCGCAATTTTATCATCATCTCTGGCATTTTACATACAAAAGCATTTAAAGGCAATGTTACAGCAATAAGCAAGATCATTGTTCCAACTGTGCATTGTGTAGATGTCTAAAATGAAGGCCTCTAACCTGTTTTGGCATATGTCAACTTATAAACCATAGCACTAGCACTGCAGTACATGTGAGTCTGTATCCACTGTATACATTGAATTATGAATACATAAACACCAACTGTAGCATGTGCTCCCACACTTCAGTACAATACGTCACACTAAACAATAATTCTGTCATTAATATTATCTGCACTGCAAATTCTTTTGTATAACCAGCATACAAGAACCATGACAATTCTCAAACAATATATCTACAACTGTATCAGATGTTATTTACACGAGACTGTTGGATTTGAATCAGACAAAATTGTCGCTTCCCGAGTTCTGTCGGTGGGACTGTTCCAGCGAGAGGTTTCTGAGTCGCCGAAGTTCCCGGTTTGCGGACGAAAGCTCGGCACCTTGTCTCATCTCCTTCTCTTTCAACTTCTTCACTTCGCGCTGAATCGTGACGTTTTGTCGAAGCAGCTCCAGCTTCTCAATCTTCAATCTGTTGATCTCGGAGTTCAGCAGGGCCACTTGTCTCTGCAGTTCTGTTCAAAAAAGATAGGGGGCACTTAGTAACCACGCAACCTGAATGACTGAAGGAATGAAGCTTTGCTAACATGACTTGCAATTTAAGTAAATGAATAAATGAATGAAAGAACGAACAAAGAAATGAATAAATGAATGAATGAAGCTTTGTTAACATGTGCTATATGTGCCCAGCCTGTGTGGGCTTGTAATTAAGACACATGAAGATACGAAATATACATTTACTGTTACTGTACATAAAACAAGAGAACGCTAACAACCATTAATTTTTTTTATTCGCACCAATAAATCAACAAAATTAATATGCAAAACAAAAGGAAAAAAGTGTGCAGGAGAAGGAAGGAAGCCTGCAAGGCTTGTACAATGTCCTCCTCCTTGAAACTTAGGAAATATCAGTCATGAAACTTGACAAATTAACTAAATAAAACCTACAAGTAGATAGAAGTTCATAGAACAGAACAAAACCATCCTCACCATTACTAGCTGCTGCTCCGCCCTCCTCCATACAGTTACTGCAGGTGAAGTTCTCCTGTTTGACGCTGTTGGGGGAGTCTCCAGACGACATGCTCTCCATGCCGGTGTCGGAGTCCTCTCTCTCCTCGTTCAGGTCGCCGAGGCTCACGATGCTGCTGCAGGAGTTGGACAGGGAAGACGAGGAACCCTCCTCTGCACTGGGCGGCCTGCGGAACAGAAAGGAGACATCAGTTTTACAATTCCACTTATTTATCACGTCACCACCTTTCCTTTTGGACTCCCAGATATTTTTCTTCACTTATTTGCATATCAATCAATAGTTCATGGTTATAAACCTGCCTTTCTCGTGCAATCTCTAGTGTCACCGATGAAAGGCAGTGGATGCTACCTAAAATGTCCAACTGTTTCCAAAATCATATCCAGTTTGCTTGAGTAACTGTTTTTTTGGGTATCTTATAACCTTCACTGACCCACTCACCACCTCACTCGGAAAAAAATTTCAGGACTAATAGTGCATGGCAAATGTGCACAGCCCTTTATCTCCTACTTGTCCTTCTCCATTAAGAAGAGCTACAAAGTTGATTCTAACTTACATGACACTTCCTGACTTGACAGGCGACACATCAGGCGAGCTCCGCGGAGATGACCAGTTAGACCCGGCGTTGGATGACACGACGCCCGAGTCGTTGCGGTTCTTGAGGGGCGGGAGGATGGGCTGCTTCTTGTCTGCCTCTGTAGTCGCTCTTCTGCTGTACTTCTTCTGTCCTGTCCGCTTACTGGAGCCTTTTCTACCCAGGATGGACGACTGAAATACAAAATATAAGTCTGTGAATAATTTCCTCTGGTATAATAGCAACAATTTTATTCACAACTACTTCTTTGTAGATAGCTAGAGACCAAGATGGAAAAGTGTCACTCTGTTTAAAGGTATTTCCCTTTCAATTCATATATAATTACAGTTTTGTTCCAACATGAAAAATCACTAGTGGAACTAGCGATTATGGTAGTGCTCTGATATAACAAAATACCAGAAATATAAAAGTCTATCCAGTTGCTGTTATTTTCATGAAACAAAGTGTACAGATGTTAAGAAATACAATGTGCATACTACTCATGCAACATTTGATAGAATTTGTGAGACCATTTTCAAAATCTATCCTGTTACTTCAACAAAAGTGTACGGATGTTAAGAAATATGTTACTGTGCACTAAAGCTATGTGTTACTGGTTCACTATGCAATAGTAAGTGACGCTAGGTGTTACTGGTTTACTAAGAACTACGTACAATTCCTGCAGTCTTCCCCTCGCTGTAGCTGTGCGGTAGAGTGTCCTTCTCTCGTCTGCTGTTCTGAATGGCGGCGATGTCCCAGGACTGGCTGCGACCTCGGATAACCTTCCGGAAGGTGTCGAAGAAGCTGCCGCTTTCGCTCTTGACGTCGGGCGACGGCGCGTCCATGCGACCGCTCATCTGCAGGTTCTTGGCGTTTAGTTCCGAGTACAGCGACTCCAGGAGCGCCGATCTCGTTCTCTCCTGGAAGGAAGGGCACTTTAATTTAATAATAAAAGTAATGGTTAATTGGTAAAACGTTACCAGTGCAATCGCAGCCTTTTATAACGCTGAATTGATGCAGGGTTTACAATCACATAATACACATGATACATAATAACATATTTGCTCCACACACTTTTGTGCAAGTGTCGCAAGGGTCTGTGCGACTGCCATTTGGCGCCATCAGGTGACCTTAATACGACTTTCCCCAACCAAAGTTACGTACCCATTCACACCTGGGTGGAGTGAGCAAAGCCATGTAAAGTGCCTTGGCAAATTACAAATTGGTAATTTGGCCAACTACAAAGGAGCTCATCACACATACTGTCCAGGGAAGTCTGCAGTCATCTACTACACTACATTTACTACACTAATTTACAGACAGAATTGATAGCAAAGCTGATATCCTGCATTGATGCAAATTTTCCATTCAAACTATCTTCTCCATGTCATTCACATTATTTATTTATCATGATCTAAGATTTCATCATTGATAGTTCTTGAGAAAACACAAAGCCTCACCTCCAGTTTGGCAAATCTTTCAGTCTTGTAGCATAGGATGCAATCTCCTGCTTTGACGCAAAGTTGCCATTCAATCTTTCTTCTCCTTAATTATCATTTACTTTTGCCATGATCTTAGATTTGATGTGATAGTTCTTGAGAGAAACACAAAAAAGCCTCACCTCGAGTTTGGCGAATCTCTCGGCCTTGTAGGAAGCAATCTCTGCATTGATGAGTTTGCTGAGGAGAAACTCGCGGAAGGCCGGCCCTTTTCTGTAGACAGCGGGATTCGGCAGGGTCGGACCGAAGAATGGCACATCGTCACGAGCTGCCACAGAGACCTGCAGGGACAGTGGAGGGAACACGAGATGGTTTAGTCATTTAAACTTACAACCAAGGCCTAGGAAATAAAAATAATTTAATGTTGTGTTTCCTGTTTACCGACAGACCGTAGAGAAAACTGCCAACCATAGCCATTTTTGGGGTGGACCCTAGCCAGGGACATCATTTTTTTTTAGCTGATTGATCTTTTCTAACTCCCTTGTCTGACACCTGAATGATCAAACGTTGTACAATCAGTTTTCCAACATTGACATTGAAAATATAAGTGTCCTCATGTGCAAAGTTTAGGTGTAACATGTTGTTCAGTATACCGTAATATGCCCGTGAAGCTGGTGTGTTATGCCGAAGGGCAGTTATATTGGCTATACCACTAGCAGAAGGATAAATCTCTTTGAGTACTCTAGCGGACAATTGAGTACTCAGCACAAAGGACAAGACCAAAAGAGACCTGGGAGAGATCTGCCCTCATTAGCAGAGACTCCAAAGAGAACTGCTGTAGATTCCTTCTTGACACCTAAGGTTGGACCCCCTCAGAGACCATCTATTGTTTTGAACAATAGATAATTAAATGGGGATAAGTGTCTAACCCTAACAATGACATAAAGACAACAACATGGCAGCCACCTTTTCACAGGTGATTTTGAAAGAGACTTTTCAAACAATGTAAAATTATGTAAGACAACAGTTTTAAAAAAGAGACTTGTAAGAGACTGCAAGAGATCTGAGATAGAAGTTGGGAGAACAATGGTTAATCCAAAGAGAACTGCAGAGTACTCAATTGTCCGCTAGAGTACTCAGAGAGATTTATCCCTCTACTAGTGTACTGACACAATAATTATTACAGATTTGAATGGAGGGTCACTGAAACTCGTAATCTTTTAAAAAATGGTAAATTCTAGAGGCCAAAGCTTCATTTGCTGTTAGTTATTATATGTAACTGCAATTATAACAGTGCTAAATATGTTTGATGGTGGTATCTTTCTTTAGGCAAGTATTACTTTTCAAAACTTACAATAATCTCTAGACACCACCATATGGGTGATTGTTATATTTAGCATTATTTTCCGAAAAACGTTTTCATTTCTTAAGTAGTATCACTTTCTGAAGTAGAAACATTTCAGTGGCATTTGTTACAGCCATAGTCTGAAATAAGTTAAGGATAGCCTGCCTTTTATGTAAGGCCACGTGGATTATGTAAAAAGGTAGGCTTTAGTTTTCTACATAACAGAGGTCAGTAACCTTATGTTCGTGACATACATGTGCGAACATAAGAACATTCTCAGAACATAAGGATAAACAACGCTTATATAACATGACCCAGATTCAACCCTTATATATTTTTAGTATGACTGGTGAATCTGAGAGATGTTAAACTGTAGTTCATGTAGCTTTTATTTCTGAATGATTTTTTCAGGGAAATTATGACATGGGAATTTTTTTTTTTGCCGACAAGACAACTAAATTTTGTAGGACACATGAATGTCTAAGGTAGGACCTAAATTTGCTGTGACACACGTTTGGGAACACATTGTAGATACATTTCCCTGTAATCCAATCACGCATATGTGTAGATATGTAAATATTGTACATTTGGGAATGAATCTGTAGCAGAGACACCTGTGCTGCAGTACAATGTGAACCGGTAAGCATCACCCTGAGGAAGGTGACAGACGGTCACCGAAACGTCAGCTAAAAAAAAAACTTGGTTGTGTAGTAAGAAGAGTCTCTTTAATAATATATTACTCAAGCTTATTGTTGGTTATGCCAAACAAAGTGTCATACCTTACGCCATAAAGCAGTTACTCAAGCAACTGGATATGATTTTGAAAACGTCAGACGTTTCAGCTAGTATCCACTAGCTTTCGTCAGTGACTGAGAGACCAGAGGGGAAAGGCAGGTTTATAAGCACAACCTATTGATTGATATGCAAATAAAGTGAAGACAAATTTTTGGAAGTCGAAAAAGGAACAAAAGTCAGACAATTCAAGACAAGATAATGCAAATTAGTCAGAAAGCTCCTCTGGTCTCTCAGTCACTGACAAAAGCTAGTGGATACTAGCTGAAACGTCTGACGTTTTCAAAATCATATCCAGTTGCTTGAGTAACTGCTTTTTGGCGTATCGTATTACCTGGATGTCTAACCTTCATCGACGTAAGTGTCATACCTTGTAATGCGTGTTCTCCGAGCAGGCGTTGAGAGGCTGGACCACGATGAAAGCGTGGAGAAAGTGCGACGCGATCATGTCTGGAGTGAAGGGCGTGTTCTCCTCCTGGAAGATGATACAGACGATGTCGTTCCCGATGTGTCTCTTCCTCTGCAGCTGCTGGCTGTCACCCTCCGTGTACGGTAGCTTTGTGGACACGTGGAACATCACCTCCCTGAGATAGCAAGAGCAAATTGACTGATAAGGATCACATAGCACGTCAGCAGAAGGTACATGTACTACACCTGTTCGTGTAGGGCAAATTTGTGGACACATGGAACATCACCTCCCTGGGGACAAGAGTGAATCATTTGATGAGGCTCAACTAGCACATTGGTACACTTGAGATGTTTACCTTTGCACCTGAGTTGTAGCATGAAGGTAATGCCCTTTGCGGGTAAACTGGCAGCAAAGGACTGACCTTTACACATTAAGGGGGCACACCCCAGTTTATTTGGCGTTTCTATTCGAAGCTGCACACCCTCAAGTCTAGTGACTGTCTCTGCCATGGAATGATTCGGAAGGAGAATAACTGTACATGGGACGAAAGGATATCTCTTCAGCTACAAGACCATCTGAGTTTGGTTGCTTCGTCCTCTTCAATTTTGGTAAAATCAACAGAAACAACATTATTTTCACTCCAAAATTAATGCACAATACAATATAAATACAAAAGAGTCTAACTCACCTGTCCTTAAACTTTGTGTAGACCGAAGTCTTGCCCGTCTGTCCATGCTGCGTGTCGAGCCCCCCGCGATACCCCTGGAAGTCCTGCAGGTCCACCTGCTCCCCCAGCAGGCTCAGAAACTCCTGCAGTGCCGGGCTCTCCTGCCTGTTACAGAACATGTCCTCCTCCTTCACCTAGGTGCACAACCAAGTACCAGAGTTATCAACCAAGGATTGAGGTGTTCAAGAATTCATTCTTTCCTGGAACTATTGCAGAGTGGAACTCGCTGTCACCAAGTACAGTAGGGGCATTGTCATTAGATAGCCATCAATGTGCAAGGTTGGGAAAGTAGGAGGGATTTGTGTGAAATACACATGCATGAAAAAAAATAGTGCTATACCTTACATCGTAAGATTATTCAACTCACAAGAGTCACCTACACAAAATCCATGTCCATTATACTACTTTCGATCACTACTCCATATGTCTTTTATATCGTCCGTATTTGTATGTATTTTACTAGCCTATATAGTTATGTCATTTTTTATCGTATTTTTACCAGTAGCACTGGCAGTGTATTTTAGATGTACAGTAAAGCAATATAGAATGCTGAGATAACTGTTTAAATGACAGGCCAATTCATTACCCGATTCAGTGCGAGTCTGTACATACACTACAAAGAACTGAATAAACCATTATCATACCTGTCCAAACTTTTGGTACACCACCCCAAACTTGTACTGGTTGGTCAGGACATGCTCGTCATAGGTCACTAGTAGCTCTGAACCCTACATGTATGAGAAGGGGTGAGAGAAATTCAGACAGTCAGTCAGTCATTGTGTAAAGTATTTCTTTCAAATAATCTTACTTAATCTTATTATATTTCCCTAGTATTTGCAGAAGGTCAATGACCTGGAGCAGATGTCTGTAGCAAATACTCTATGGTGTTGGGTTACATTATGTACAGTAGCAATCTTACTTAATCTTACTATGTTTGCCTACATATTTGCAGAAGGTCAATGACCTAGAGCAGATGTCTGTAGCAAATACTCTATGGTGTTGGGTTACATTATGTACAGTTAGCAACACCGAGCTGGAGGGGCTGGTCATAATGTAGTTAAGTGTGAATAAACGGGGCAGTAGTTTGTAAGGCTAGACCGTGTGAAAGTACACATTATTGCCTCCGGGGGAGGAGACACCCTTCCGCGGAAGGGCTTTGTGAGAGTTTTAGAATTTCACGTTCGCAGCGATTCCTCGCGTTTGATTGGACGGATTCTTTTGAGACTCGGTATATGTTTTGCTATCGGGCTGCAGATGATGCACGTTCTTTTGTTTTTATTGTATATGTGTTTTCGGGCGTGAAAATGGAGCCTTTTGATGGCCCCAGAACACCCCTTGAGTGAGAAAGTGGGTCGCGACCGTCGATCTTTTGCATGTGTTAGATATAGTCGGTCTCGTCCACAGTCGCACAGAGGGGTGACGGGTCTCAATAAATTCTTAGTCTTGCGGCGCGCAACAATTGTTGTTGTGCACATACATCCTCTGTATGCCAGGCGCAACAATTGTTGTTTGGAGGGTATTTTTAGTACGCGTTCACAGGACGCGTGATCGGCAGCAACTTCCGGGTTGGTCAATGGGTCAGGGGTCAACGTACTCTTGCGCAATCTTTGTTTTGGATGTTTTCGGCGTATATTACGACTACTAACGTACAAATACTGCGGTATACGGTCTCAGACGTTCTCGGTGTGCATTTTTACCGAGGATTCAGACCTTTACTTCCCCGATTTATACGAATAATTGGCGGAAAATGGAGGAAGTGACAATAAGGATGGCTTGCTACTTCAGCCGTTATTTTTAACGTCTGATTTAACGGTTCCGGTTGTCATTCTGAGTTTCATTACGAGTTCATTGCGGCAGATTAAATAGAATTTCATAAGTTCATGGGTACATGTTATGGGCTGCAGATGAAAATGTTGACCTGTGTTAACACAACCAGGAACGCTAAACACATAAAATTCAACACCATCAACTATACATAACAAACAACATATAGAAATATACAATAAAAAGCCCGGAGGTATAAAATCTCAGATTTTACTTGTTAAGCTTTGCATACTGTTACCTTAGCTCTACATGTAGATCTATATCTCATACATCTCTATTCTATAACTGATTCATGAGTATTAACTACAAATATTGGGCTGTGTTCTTATCATTACTACAAAAATCACTTTTTAATCACCAATTCAAGGTGATAAATAAAGTTAAGATATTCCTTTCCATACCTTAGGAAAGAGGACAGGGTGGAATCTCTCCACTGACACATCCTCACACACCAGTTTGGCCATCCTGGCAGGACCTGGGAACTCTGCCAAACATGAGGACGGTACAATCTCATGGATGGTGCCGGTGTGTCGTCTGCAGGGTGCAGAAAACAGGAAAGATCCAAATAAAACATTAGACATGTACATTTACCAAATGATGGTTGAAAGCACAGTGATTGGACAGGACACAACAACGTGTGCTAAGACTTCTATTGTTGAAGTGAGATGAGGGGGATATGGATTCAGTTATGTTTGGGACCACATTCTTGCCATATTCATTTGTTCATTCTTTCAATTGTTCATCCATCCATCCATCCATCCATCTATCCATCCATCCATCCATCCATCCATCCATCCATCCATCCATCCATCCATCCATCCATCCATCCATCCATCCATCCATCCATCCATCCATCCATCCATCCATCCATCCATCCATCCATCCATCCATCTATTCATTTAATTATTGCATCTTGATTCAGATGCCTGGGACTTACCTGAGGATGAGTCTCAAGTGCTCCTGTGAGGAGATGGTCTCAGGCTTGACAGACAGAACCAGATGTCCCAGGTTCTCATCCCAGGCAAAGAAGTTCATGTGTTCCTACAGAATGTACAAAAGGGACAGCATGTCATCCATGAATAGTTTCATCAGGTAATTAAAGAGACTCTTTTTACACAAGTCTTTTATTCAGCGGAGGTTTTGGTGACCGTCTGTCACCTTCCTCAGGGCAATTCTGACTGGTTCACATTTCCCTGTAACCATGCATATGTGTAGATATGTAAATATTGTACATTTGGGAACGCATCTATAGCAGCGACACCTGTGCTGCAGTGCAACGTGAACCAGTCAAAATTGCCCTGAGGAAGGTGACAGACGGTCACCGAATTGTCGGCTGAATAAAACAATTGGTTGTTTAGAAAGAGTCTCTTTACTCAGGACATCATGACAATGTTACAATGTTACAAGACAATGCAACTCATTGTGGCATCTGTCCTTGGTGCTGAATCCATGTTGTTTCAACAGTTTGACTCCATGCATCAGAAAGTGCATGATATTGTCCAATTTCAAGAAATCAGCTCTCCAAAATAAAAGCAAGATGAAAAATAACAAAAGAGCTTTTATCATTATAATAGTGAAAACTCTTCATTGTCTCCCATTCTAGGTGGGACATAGGCAGGTTTCGAGATACTTGTTTCTGCATACCTGCACTGGAAATTACATGCTTCTTTATTCACGAGAAGCTCAAATCTGTCTGCAGGCCACTTCTCATTGAGGTCATGAGGGAAGCAGTGGTGTGCATTTGTTTGTTTGTTTATTTCGATCCCCATTAGTGCTTAAAAGCACTATTCTTCCTGGGGTCAATAAAATGAAACATAAATAACAAAACTTGTACATAATGATGATTACAAAATAATAAAGTAAGTTCAAAATCAATAGGAGAGGTCGTACCTTGCCCAGGAAGTGTCTTCTGTAGCACTTTGCCGTGTCGTCAGACTCGAGCTTGTACTTGGCGGGACAGGAGGGGAGGATGGGCCGCCCCTGGCTGTCTGTCAGAGTGTCTGGATCATTCCCATCCACCCAGTATCTGCCGTTAGCTGGGGCAACAATCATGGGGTACGGGCCCTCCCCTTTGATCACCTGTACCGGCAAATTGAACAAAATTTATTATCAACTTCCTGTTATGACATCTAGAAACTATGATGTAAATGAAAAACTATCATAGTATGTAAATTTGTTCATGCTTGTTTCAAAAAGAAACAAGAGATCTTGCAGGTATAGACGTAGCACAGTAATGTAGCATTTTGTTTCTCCTACCCTTATATGTTATCTAACGTAGTGCATTTGGCCCATGTACGGTGTGAATATGGATGCTTGGTCAACATTGAATACAAATTTTACTCATTAAAGACAATATCGTTCTATCACAGTATTCACAAACTACAGATGGAAAGTCATCCTTATACACGAATACGACCTTAAATGAGACGTTCTGACAAAATGCTAGGCACAGTACATTCTGCCAACATGCTTTGTTATGTACATGTATGATATTCTTCTTTCGTACTGTTTCAAATGACTACTAGTAGCAGGGTCAGTTTTGACCACATCTGCACATTTCTAGTTGCTGCAAATAACTTTTCTACCCAAAGTTATACTAACAATTAAAATTCCATCAAGTTCACTCTCCAGTACAAGTCACCTTGGCACTGAAGTATTAAACATCAAACTTCATAATTCCCTTTTACCCAGAGGTTCTAGATGTACTTGAAAGATTGGGTCCGTACTGTACAACATCCAATTACCCTGGGATGGACTGCAACAACTGATAACCAAATCTACATGCTTGCCTCAAAGCCTACATCACCCACATACGTGCGATAACATGTAGACTTTTCTGCCCTGAAACTTGTCCATACTGTTAATGGAGTATATGCATGTGTGGGCTTCACTGAACCAAAAGGAGCCTATCTTCGCTCCTTCGGGCAATTGCACGGACAGGATTTCTAGTTCATTTCCATCTGAATATGAGCATGGAAAGACTCTTATCTGGACTGAGTGATATGGCTTGCATGCTTGGGTACTTTTTGGATGTAAATCTGGTTAATTACAGAAAGTTTTTGACACGGCCTTGGGTAGTGGTAAAGAGCTTTACTCACCTGTTGAAGAAGTCTGTAGGATGGTCTGCAACTTGGGCTGGGAGAGTCCTGCAAAACATTTAAAACAAATATGAAGAAAAATTGTGAGTTTTACCTATGGAAACTGTTAATACACAATACTGTCATTCATGTTATGTTCACGGTAGCAAAATGTCACGGTCTGAGAAAATTGGACATGTTCACGGAACTATATATTCACGGTGGCGACAGGTGCAGGAAAAAGAAAGTCCAGGAATTATTTGTGAACTACATGTATAATGGTAAGTTCACAGTACAGAAGTGACCGTGACAAAATCAGGAATTACAGTATGTACAATGTAATCATGATTGATGCACATCTGACAAATGGGATGTACCATACACTGGCCATTTTTGATCATTGCCTGCTTAGAATGATTCACACTCATTTCATTGGTTTGACAGGCTTTAACATTCAAATCAATCAGCTGAAAAAACTACATCACCTTAATGTTTTCAGAGAGTGGCAGAGGACATCTTGTTAACTAAGAGGACAATAGTGAATAGACTTTTCATGCTGCTTCAACAACCACAACTTTTGTCAAGGGATAGGTCACAATACTGATGCCCTTTGCCACACAGGGATAGGTACAGGCTCATTTAGAGCTTGTGAGCCTTCTGAAGACTGTACTTAAAGTTAAAGGCCAGTGATGGAGACCACAGAGAGCGCTAAAATTAATGCAGCTCTCTCTTCTCAGGCCTGACAAAAATTAGAAGAGCGTGAGGTCACCGTAATGATGTCCTTTGCCCGAAAGGAAGTTCACACAAGGACATGTACGGACTTATTCAAGAACCCTACAAGCCTTTTGAGGCATGTTACCGAGTGGGTGATGGATTCTGCCGAGATCAGTGTTTTTAAAATTAATGCATTTCTCTTTCCAGGCTCTGGAAAAGAGCTATAGGTCACAGCGTAATGATGTCTGTTGGCATGGTAAGTTCACACGAGGATATGCATATATGCGCTCTTTCAAAGCTTGAAAGCCTTTTGAAGCTTGTACCTAGGGCAGTGAAGGAGACTGCACAATCCCTGAGGTTCGTAAGGACTTCGAGACTACTTAGTATGGATGAGACATGTGCAATGCCCTGTCACGACGCAATTTCGCCGGCGGGCACTCTCCCTGTTAACCTCTGCTCCCGCCTAATTAACAAAGAGGCTATGCCGGCAGGTTGTGCATTTGGTGGGGAGCCAAGGTGGTCATTTTCCAACGAGCTCTGATCTCTCTTTGCTGATGGCACATGGCAGGCCCAGGGTGACATGTGCCTCAGATGGGTGCCAAACATGTCTTTTCCTTTTGAAATATATAGTTTTGTTCACATTTTTTAATGGATGTTTGGTCATCATTGAATACGAATTTTGTCCGTTACAGGCGATATCTTTTCCAACACAACATTCACAAACTGTAGATGGACAGTCAAACAGGTCTTTTCCTTGTTTGAAATATTTATCACAAAATGGCAGGAAAATAAAGTCAACCAGGGAGGTAACATTTACAAAGAAAATTTCTAATGTTGACCTTCACAGAGTGTAGCCTAATTGCAAGAATAAACTACTGCAGCTGTGTTTACTCTTTAAGTTACTCAAACACATTCAAATACATGTACAAATGGTGATCATGACCAGCCCCTCCTATTCTGCCCTGCTACATAATGTAATCTAACACCACAGGGTGTCTGCTACAGCACCAGTTACCATGGTGAGAGATGTCCAGGACACTGGCTTCATGTGCTCAAAAAAGGAAGAATAACATGAAACCAAGCGAAAACAAGATGTTTTTCTTCTGCAAAGGTTAACACAAAAATATGATGGAGGACGCTATATTTCTACCCTGTCAATTTTTCCTCTGATCTTCTGTGTGGAAAGATCCTTTACCTAACGCTTCACTGGGTCTGCTGCATCAAACATCAAAGAAGTCCAGTTTTCTGCCAGAGCACACAGGAATAACTTATCTTTTTTTTATTTTTTATTTTTTTTATTGAAATTGCAACAATGCAATACACACGGAGCAGAGGCAGCTGTTGCTGGTGTTGTGTCCCGCACATAGAAACAAATACTGGACAGACAATACTCATTTTTATTTGAGTTAAGTGGGGAAAGTCGTGTAAAGTGCCTTTCCCAAAGGCACAAGATCGGTGGCATGTCAGGACTCGAACCCGGGTCCTCTTGATTCCGAGTCGCGCACTCTGCCATTGCGCCACACGACCCCACTTATCATTATTCCAGCTGTGTAGCTTCACACAACTGTTCGAAGAAAAGATTTGGGTGGATCCTTTTGGGTCATGCATTTTCCATGTCACACATGTTGACTCCAACAATGGGTGGATTCCTTTTTGCTTTTAACGGAAGCCAAATGTTAAGACATTTCCTCTGAACCAGTGGACCTTTTCACATTGGATTATGCCTGGTGTAAGGAACTGATTCTTGAATGTCAAATTTTTGCAGCTGATGCAAGACCAGCAAACATGAATGTCATAAAAAATCTTTGCCTTTTCAGACAATTTCACCTGCAATTGCTGTTTCTTTGTCTTCACCAAATGCATAACTGGACTGTATGTCTCTCATCATGGTAACTGGTGCTGTAGCAGACACCCTGTGGTATTGAATTACATTATGTAGCAAGTACAGTGTAGTAGGATATAGAGCAGTTGGGACTGGTCATTAAATACAGTCATTATATATTATACTAGTACATGTATATGAATGTGTTCAATGGGTAAGAATAAACAAGAAGAGAAAGTGCTTTGAAGTTTGTTAGGCCAAAACACGTGATGCACATTTTATCTTGAATTTTCTAGTTTTAAGTCATGTTCATGCTTCTGTGCTCTGTGCTCATTGCATAAAGGCAAATCAACCAAGAAACTTTGCAATTCACTGGGTGTATAGTTCATCACTTTCCAGTTTACTGCTCACCAAACTTTCCTTCACAAACATGTTACATGTCAAACTCACTTATGGTGGCTTTTGATCAGTCCTGCCCACCACAGTGGAAAACCGGGAAGCAAAGAGGCTAAGTAATAGTCCTTGGATGCACTGCCTGTCTTATCAGCTAGTTTCTAACTGACTGAGCACAAACGGCTGTATGGGGAAAAAATACAGAGGATTTTGGCATGGTTTTGAGCAGTGTTGTACCAGTGATACTTTGAGACTGCCCAACCTAAAGCTGAAACGTTATTCGTGATTGTAGTGGTCTCTGACAGTCAGTTAATATATTTTCTTTCTTTCTGTGGTGAGGATAAACATTTAGCAAAAATTACGAAACTCCTGAGGGAAAATGGTCACTGGAAGGGCCCTGGGTTGACTTTTAGGGTACCACCCAGAAAATAAAAGACTCATTTTGGAGCTTGTTTCTGCAGTTTTGAATGCCTAAAGCATGAAATACTGATTCAAATGTGCTCATGTGAAGCACTATGCGTAAATACCTCAAAGATTGCCTTATTCAGAATATTTCCAGTTTTGCTGCCCTGAAATCGAATCGGATGCTTTAACCTTGCATGTTCCACCGCACAACACCGTGACTACTGTAGCGTGGCTAATCCTTGAGGCTGGCAGGAGAAATTGCACTAGTTTCCTTCCGCGATAACCGGGCTTACCACTAAGACACGACTTAGGCCACAGCAAGTAAATTTTATGGATGACATCCTCAGTAGACTCCAAATCTAATGCGAGCGAGCGAAAAAAAACAAGGCGGGCCGAAAAAACAAGGTTCCTACATTTTGAAATTTTGACTCAATCATTGTACAAATGGTTTGGATTCAGTGGGAACATCACTTATACACAGTCAACACCACATATCACTGCATCAAAGTAAGAAACAAAACATTCAATCAGAGCATTTTGTTGTCTCCTCTCTTCATCGTTATCTGCCATCCACCTATCTTCATGGCAACAGACATCTTTGCCCATTTTCAGCATGGTGACCACTGTCAGAGGGCAACAAAATTTCTTCTTTTTTTTTTCAAAATCAGGCGAAAATCAATGCGCGCGCTGATGTCATCCATAAAAATTACTTGCTGTGGCCTTACGGATTTACATACAGATGTGGTAATCAATGCCCAGAACGTCACCAGGCTTGTCTACGTGCCTGCAGGGCAGAGAGAGCTACATGTACCGATCGCTCATTCCAGCAAAAATCAATGACGCAGTCTTGATTGAGGAAAGAAACAGAAGTCAGCTAATTTTTATGGCTATCGGCATTAATTTCCATTATGTAAAGAGTGGGGTGTTATTGATTCAGTGAGACTGTATGCTAATTTAGTACCTTGATGAAGGTTAGGCATTCAGGTAAACAATACTCAGTTTTTTGACATGTATCAGTGAGATTATATTCTAATTTAGTAACTTTCTGTTACAAATGCCTGGTTGACATTGTCACATTTCTAACATTATGGTAGGTAAAATGAAAAAAAAAACAGCCGATGCGGTTTACACCAGTTTGTTCCTGTTCAAACCAGTTTTGTTACATGTATAAGATTATATTCTGTTTTTTATGCTAGGTTGACATTTTAGTCACATTTGTAACATTTACTCACTCACTCACTCACTCACTCACTCACTCACTCACTCACTCACTCACTCACTCACTCACTCACTCACTCACTCACTCACTCACTACAGTATCATGTGATGTGGTTCACACCAGTTGGTTCTTGTTCAAACCAGTATTTTTACATTACAATGTTATCATGTGAGTCTGCTGCAGACTTACCCGGTTGTCTCGAGGTCTGCATGCCTCTGGCAGGGTGCAGCGCTGCTCATCCAGCCGATCACTCTGGAACATCAAATTGTGGACCAACTATCACACGAGAGTCGGATTATAAAGAATGATGACAATTCCAAGAACAATATTACATTATACGTGACATCAGAGATAATATGTTAATATATTTTGGATGTTAGTAGATTTTATCCACTCAATTGATCTTCATACCTTTTGTAAAGTCTGACGCTAATTCAGTCTGTTGACTGCTATAATGTCAGATTGTGTTGAGTTTCTTCCAATAAACCAATCAACATCATCAGTTGCAAATTTGTCTTAAATACAATCTTGTCAGAGTGACAGAGAATTTTAAATGATGAATTTAAAGACATGACATTGTTCAGTTCAGTTTCGGTCATTCTCAATACACGTATTGAAAATATACACATATCCGGTCTTACACAGCTTGTACATGTACGTACATGTACAAAACTGGTGTGTTACACTGGTGTGTTTACCGGTTATGCGAAACAAAAAAAAAACTGACACATGGACTTACCTGGACCTTTTCCAGCATCGCAATCAGGTCTTTTGTCTGCAGTGAAGTAAAAAGAGAAAAAAATATGAGATCAGATTCGACGCACTTCACACAAGACAGCACCAAAATGCTCTCATACTAGGACACGCGTCAGGGAGACGATATATATAGGCTGTACATGTGGAGTCCTGCCCAGTACGTAATGCTTATGATTACCAAAGTGCCTGCCAAATAGACTGTTCAGAGGCTGGCATTGATCTTGACATATATATTCGCGGCTGTGCACATGACATTAGGCACACGGGAGAGTGTCCTCATGCGTCTTTTAACGATCGGCTGCTTCATGTGAATTCATAGCACTCATCTCTTCTTTCCGCATATTAATGGCTTCACCATCTAATAGTGTGTGGAACTCTCAGGCACTCATCTTATATTAGGAAGAGTTTTGGCACTAGTACTGGTCATTTTGCTGAGTAGGCCTGAAATTACCCTTTAGATCAATGTACTTTATTTTTCTGTGCAACTTCAGGGGTATGAGTATGTACAGCAAACTTCCCTATGATTATGTAGTGAGAGCAAACTTTGCTCCAAACTTTAAACCTTTAAGTTAGTACTGTGAGTGGGGGAATCATAATTGCATTCTAACTATGGGTACATGCTGTACTGCATTCAACAAACAATTTTCGAGCAGGAGCCTGTGTATATCGAATTGGAACCATAATCATATGTAGTTACATGTACCTTACTGGGTGATTTTTGTACATGTATACCCTATGCCTCTGTACATACTGGTATATCACAATCACATAGAATCAAAATATACCTACTATTGAAGGTGGGGGTGAACCATTGCATTCTACTATATCCGATATAAGCTGTACTGTATGGCATGAGGCTGCGCATATAAATTTGGAAACAGCCATACATGTACATGTACAATGTAGTTACCTTATTGGGTCATTTTGTTTTCCCTTTGCCTCTGCACATATCTCACACAGAGAATGAATATCTGAGAAATGGAAACTTGATTCTGGTGTAATGTTCTCAAAAAGCCAGCAATATCTACAAGTAGGTCAATATCTACAAGTAGGCCACTGATGAAATATATATCCCTGCATTATAAAGATCACAGAGTAGGCCAGTACCTTCACATTCAAGCATTTTACCCTTTGCCTCCGCACATATTTCACATGTACTCATGAAATTCTAAGAAACCAAGCTGTTTTCACCCAGTAAAATGTCAAAAAGCTGCTCAAATTTAGGTCAAGCGATAGATGAAACATACCGCTTGCCTTCTGAAGATCACAGAATAGGGTTCACCAGAGTTCACAGGCTTTGATGGGATATTGGCTCATTCATAAATCGACCCGACAGGATATATGTTCTGCACCCATTAGCCCCTGACTATACATCAAAACAGCAATTGGACACAACTGGCTGGGGACATTTCCTTTCAGAAACAACACCAGGGACATTAAGAGGTGTGGGGCTGCATACACAAGGCTCAAAATCGTTTTTCTGGACACTTGCACTAGAAATAGCACAGGCAACGTTCAAAATTACCTGCACAAGACAAATTTTACATGCACCACTTGGAATTTAAAAAGTATGGATCATGCTAAAAACTGTTCAGAAACCATTGCCAATTTGCCATTGTTTTTTTTATACTTCAAACCAAGGTGGTAACAGTCAGATGCAGCAAATAAAAATCCATATCCACCTAAATGTACAATATAAACCCAATACACAATGGAGCTGAGTGTGCTGGCTAAGTGCAGGGAGACATCAGAAATACCTGGCCAGAACAAATTTTACCAGCAATGACCTGCATATGCAGGACATATTTTGAAACCAGATACCTTTGGTCATTCCAGGTTCAACTATTCATGAGGTGTTGACATACACTCCAGTAACACTACACCAACATAATAGTCTATCAATCTTACTAATACTAGGTACCAAAGGCTAGATGTAATAAGATCTTCTGTTTGCTGTCAACAGAAGAAATAACTGCTGGTTAGGATGAAGGGAGAGGGATACAATCAATAGTTGGAGGTACTCATTCCTAATTAAGTGATGAATTAGATGATAAATCAGAATCAAAGTTGGACATGGCAGCTAGGAGATTGACATCAGTCCCACTTGCCTCAATGGTGTGCAGGTAGAAGACTTTTATCCTTGTCTTTTATCACCAAGGATAACAGTTTCAAGATTCAATATTTTTTTTATAAGCAGAATTGGCTTTTTTCTCACAATTCTTAGCTACATTTTTAATTTGGTTGTACTTTTTGAAGAAGTCATCTGAAACATCTTCTTCATGCATCTTGCTTCCATATTTGTTCCTCTTCATAATATGTAATGTGAGAGTGATTCTGTAAATTCAAACAGTTGAAATTGACCAAGAGTTATACAGTGCAAATTCCTAATGGCACCTGTCCTTGGTGCTGAATCTGTGTTGTTACCACCGTTTGACTCCATGCATCGGAAAGTGCATGATATTCTCCAACAAACCAGATCTTACTTCTTGATATAAAGCAGTTTGCCTCCTGGTATGAACAACTTGAAGTTAACTTATTTGACAAGTTACACACACAGAGTGGCGCACAGTAAAAGAATACATGAATACAACAGTAACAAGTCAGTGGTCTGCATTTAACTTAAATACAGCCCAGAGCAAGTCAACCATGAATCACGATTGCCCACACCGAAATTCTTCGCCCTTCTCATCTTGTCTGTATCAATCTATCTTCCTCCGCAATTTACAGGACTTTTTGTCGGGATTGGACAGATTGACTTCCTAGTAAGATGAAGTAGCCATTGACATGACAATGAACCGACATTAAGGCTCATCTCCCAGTCAGATATATTGATTCCTCCGGGGGACATGAAATTGGGAATTACCCTGCATCTGACAATCCTGGCACAGACACAGGGCATTAATATCAATTTGTATGCATTAGGAAATGGCCTGGCAGGCGAATGATGTGCCACATTACCATTTGGCAGGGAAAGTCGGGCATTAGCCTTCCTTGTGCCTAATCAGACAAAGTAGAACGCGGTAATTTAGAACTCTAATCTGCAATACTTGCACAGTTGGAGAAGTTACTCTTGCTTTGAAATTAAAAATTAACAATGATTAGAAATGATTAGAACAGGGTAGAGAGCATCAATTTTCTCATTAAGACCAATTCTTTTTGCTACAATTTTTAAAATACAATGTGACTGCTAAGAATTCTTTGTGTACCCCCAAACTTTAAAGACACTGCATCTCTAAAATTGTACTGATATTCAGAGAAGGATTTCTACTTTAAGTTAGCAAGTTCAATGGCAAAGACAAAGAATTCAACCGAGGTAAATAAAAAGGAACATTCTTTATACTCTTGATCAAAGCATAAAGTAGAATTTCAACAAAAAAGACATGTTTAGAAGTGTGGCATGTGGATGAAATTTGACTGTTTGCCAAAAACATCCCACTAAGTGAAGTCAAAACCATGCATGCCACCTTCCTTGTGTGGGTGAAGCTGGCTTAGACATAAAATGCGACCTGAGTTCTACCTTTTCAAAGGCACCTGGTATTCCTGCCTCTAGCCCACGGCACAGAGAAAGTATACATAAGTGTGGCGTGGCTACAACATGTTTAAGCATGCAGACAGGGGAATTCGGATCACCTCAATAGACACTTAAATTGGCAATCAGAAGTATTCAGTGAACAATTTTTCTGGTGGGCGAAAAGTGTGTAAAATCATGGATAGATTCTATATCTGATTAGCCTCATTACAATTGTGGGAATTATTTCTGGGAATCTTCTGGTTAGAAACCCGGGAATATCAATGGACCCAGCGGGAAGCTAGCGGTGAGTGGTGACCTTTCCACCTCAGGGCCAGTAAAGGTCGTCTACAGAGTCATAACAAGATCATCCTCTGATGCTGTTATGGAGGGAAGGTCTCTATGCAAATGTACACTGCAGGGAAGACCTAGGTTTGAGGACGCTCCATGTATGTCAAGGTTGTTATTTCTTACATTTAACACAAGACTAAGTTAAATTCTCATGATTACTTTATATTGTATTTTTTATTCTTGCTGTATTTAATTGTATCATTATGATGATTATTATTTATTTAATCATTAACTTTTGTACTTATTTCTATCATTATACTGTAATTATATTAGTTTTTCTTTATATTTGCTTGTTCATAAAAATCTATAGTATTTTTTGGAAGGAGCTGGAATGATTGAGATACTAAGTTCCTGTTGCCTGCACCTTACAGATTTCTTGTGCTTTTTAAATTTGCTAAGTCAATCAAACAAATATTATCAAATAAAATGGAGAATATTTGATAATCCTTTCAACAGTTGTGTTAAGAGATACACGTAGTTGCAATTATATCAAAAAACAATTTCTTGATGATAACTTCTCCCAGCCATTTGCCATCTTGCCTCAATAGGTCTTTTCCTGTTATGCCCGAGTTCTATTTTTGCTCATGGTTCATAAGTAGCTTTGAGAATTTAATGTACATAATGCATGTGACATCTGAAGGCTTTCAAAAAGAGCTTTAAAAAGGAACATGGGATATAGGTGCACTTGATGTACAGCCCAAATGAACTCATAGATTCCACATGTTATTTGTATATATTGTAAAAGCACTTGAAAGTCCACGAGAAATACCCAGTCTGGTGGAGTTGTTAAGCTTTAACAGAAAGTTTGCAGGAGTCACGTTGAACTTCACATCTGTCAAGTGCAGCAATCTTTGGTCCTGTGAAGCGTGGCCAAATTGGTACTCGCCATCTCAACGACCTCAGTCCATTACAGTTATGTACTTTCACATGCAACATTGGAACCATGCCACCCAGAAATGCTTGGTACATTGCAGGCATGTTAACTACATATTCCCCGGGAACATCTATAATTTATATGGGAGGCAACTGAACTACATTAGGGCTCGCCAATTAAAATGATTGCTACAGTATACTGTAGACTCTTCAATTTCATTTCATTCATTTGCAAGCAGTGAATTGTCTGGAAAATTGCAAAATTGGCAAAGGCAAAATAATTGTGACATTAGTTAATTCTAATAATAGTAACAATTTGGTACAAATGTATTAGTAAGTACGTTCATTTGGCAAAGTGAAGATCTTTCATTTCTCCTTGAACTTGCTAAACTCATTCAAAGTACCTTCAAAGAAAAGCCATAGGCTCTACTTATTCTTTAAATTTGTAGATTTGAGGACGAGATTTTTTGCACGATTTTCGGTGAATGTTTGGTCAATGTTGCATCAGAGTTTTGTCTGTTGCAGACGATATCTTTTCGACACAACATTTGGAAACTACAGTCGGAATGTTAACCTTATATACATGAATAGAACCTTATGTGAGACATTCTGCTGAAGTGCTATGCACAATACATAAAGGGTTTCACACAGGTACAGTACATTCTGCAGACATGCTGCATTCTCCATGCAACCTACACCATTTGTGTACTATTGAATGTTTAACTAACCGTAGCGTCCAGTGGCATGGGTCCGCTCCTCTCCTCATGGTCAGCATGTTCGGCACAGTACAGTCCATCCTCCATGCTGCGTTTTCTACAGAAACAACACAGGGGAACACTTAACTAAGGGCAGCAGGAATGTAGCTACTTGGTTCATACAAAATAATAGAAAAGAAAAAGAAAAACTGTTTCCATCAACTATTAAATGCTTGAGGAAAAATGAAAAATGTTTAGTTAGCATGGCTGTCCTTGGTGCTGAAATCACTGCAGTGACAACACAGGGGAACGTTTAACTAAGGGCAGCAGCAATGAAGATACTTGGTTCATAGCATATACAATCATGTACCCTCAAAATCCACCTTTAAAATGTACACTTGAATCTTTCAAAAAACTTTGAACACTATTTCTGCACGGCTACGTACGTGTTTATACAATCGTGTGCATAGTAAGGTTTTATGCACAATGCAGTTCAGTAACTGTGAAGTATGAACTTAAAGTCTGTCACCATAGATTAAACTTTTAAGTTTAATTGACCTGAAATGCATTCATCTTGTGCCATACAAAACAATAATTATTGTCATAACAACTATAATGTACAATGTTATTGTCAAGTTTACCATACTGGTTAAGAGCAATAGATACTGTGATTGTATGTGGTTCAAATATATTTTAGTATTCTAGTGCCACACCTGCAATATACTGAAGAAAAGAGGCTAACACACAGGGTCAGACAATAAAACTACATGTCATTGAATCCTTTATACTTATATATTACTGTCATCAATATAATATAATTCCATCAGACACAATCTCCCTATCCTCCTTCCATGATGATATTCACCTTTTATGTTCCCAAAATTGGTAAGTCGTAACTATGATATTAGACGTTTCTTGATCAAGGATCCAATCATTCTGGCTGATATGAAACGTCATTAAATCTCGGCAGATTCAATTGCTTGATCGCACAGAACCAATTTGTAAGCAAGCCTGGCGATATTGTATCCCTCGGGGAGTGATGCATTCATGTGTGCTGATTGCAGTCAATGCTGTTACAGGGCGGAAACTGAATTATATTGGAGGAGTCAAGTATTCTGTGTCTGCGAAGTTTATGATATCACAGCTGCCAAGGGTGTAGTATCATATCTACAGTTCCATTAACAGAACAATGATGTCATTGTCGAGTGGAAGAGTAACAGTAGAGAATACAGATGGAATAAAGGGATGGGCTGATTTTTCTTGCCAGAGGCCACAAGGCCTTTGCCTTTATGGTGAGTTCAATGGTTGGGCATTGTGTGGTTGGATGGCAAGAAGTACCTTGCATTTGCATCAGGGTTCAAGGCTCACTGTTATGCCCATTCTCTGCATCAGGCCTGTGTCTAGCACTCCTGTTTTACCTGACCCTAATACTAGTATACAATTTCCCTTAGCAATTTTCCCCTAGCAAATGCTAGTAAATAGCATTAGTCCAATTTAAGTCACCAAGGTGACCAAAAATTTGAGTCACACATCATCATCACACTCATGCCAGCCAACCAGCTATTCCCATCTTGGCTCGGACCAGCTTTAAAAAAAATCATTTCTTGTTTATGTTATGTTGTACCCAAACAACATTAGAGACTTTTGAGCTCATATCTGGAACTGGTATAAGACACAGACAAACACTCCGTCCACCAGCTATTTCCATCTAAGCTCGCACCAGCTTTTAAAAAAAATCATTTCTCATTTATGTTATGTTGTACCCAAACAACATTAGAGCCTTTTGAGCTCATCGATCATATTTGGAACTGGTATATATAAAGACACAGACAAACACACAGTCCCTCACTGTCCACGTGATGTCCTTGGTTGTTGCTGTCCCTAAAAGATGGACAAACCACATTCAAATTTGCACACGCGACCCAAGACAAGGACGCCTGGGGGCTAGATCGTGAGCAGGGATGTGTGCACAGGATGTGTGGGGTTTAACTCCAGGCACGGCTGGTCTTAAATATAGCACAGCAAATGTCAGAAATGATTCCTAACACAGCAGCCATTAAGGTAGAGTTCAAAGAATTCACCCCTCTATGATGTACCAAGTAAATCAAGATAATTAATTATTACTTCCAAACATATGATCATGAGACCATTGATCATTTTTTTCAACCTCCAATGAACCTAACTTAAGACTCTTAGTTAGTATATGGAAAAAGAGAAACAACTGAGAAACACAAATAGAGATCAAAACAATACCTCCCCTTAAAAAAGTGGCCTCTTCCCTTGACCCCGTGACCTGAAATTTTTCTCAGCAGCCAAGATAGATAATAAAATCAACTTATTCTACCACCTCTGCACTCTAAATCTGTATGATACTATGAAGAGTGAAAATATTTCTTTACTACAAATCATTTATGTACAGGTTGCATAGGGAAACAGTTTCGTTTTTGTTGTTTCTGATACCAGTATGGTAATGCGCAGCTGTATCAAAAGCTTGGTAATGGCCTCCAGCTACTGGAATCTGATACATCTCTCTTGCATCTTCCAAAATCTACTTAATGTGACATTCTTCCAGTAAATCTGACCGAAGTGCTCGCACTCTGGGACTTACCTATAACATATTTGAACAAACCAGTGATACTAAACCAGGCAAAGTTCAAACTTACTCGAGAAAGACTTTTTCAAATGTCTTCCAACTTCCGACCAACCACGGCCCCGTACGTTGCTAGGTACGTTACGCCCGGGTAAGCCACCGCAATGTCTACGCAGGGATGACTACTTAGCGCGTACACCGAAGTTAAAAGGCCTGAAATGCAGCAGAAGTCTTTGGAAAAGGTTAGGAGTTCCGTGTTTGTGTCTGTGTCTCAGCGATGGAGCCGGTGGAATTACTGCTAATGGACTCTGCTGGGTCGGAGCAACCTGCGGCTCTTCTCAAGGATCTTCTCAAGATCAAGATGACCCAAAAGTGGCCGGCTACTCTCTCTTTGAACTCCACTTGTTGTTGAGCATGTTTTTCTGAGTACGTGAAAGCACGGTGTTTAAGTAGAAAGGTGTTATGAAGTATACAAAGTGCATTTTTTTCTAACCAAGTCTCTGAGACTCTAATCAGGATCTAAAGTTAAACTTTTCAAGTCTAAGGTCAACAAACATCTGTCCTCACTGTCTGTACAGTAACCAAAAACATTTGAGTGGCTCCCATGAGCCTTGTTTCGCTGTGAACATGAACTAAATGAAAAAAATTTAAATCACGGACACAAGGCTTTATATTATGACATTATAAATACTGTTCTCTAAAATTTATGATTTTGAAAAATGTACACAATAGACAAACTTACAACAAGATGAAATGTGACAAATCCAACCTTATCTAATATGGCCTACTTAAAACATGTGGAAAGTGGGAAAATTCTAATAGTAAATACTCCGTATCTTGTACAGTACATGCAAATGAGCCAATCACTTTCACAACATGTTAACAAAAGGCTACCACAGCAGGGCTGTCCTGGCCTTATTTCCTGTACTGTGGTTTACATAAGCTTTCACATCTTTATCTGGCTTTACTATGTGCCAATCAAAATAAGCCCAAACGTCACAGATGACATCGATATATCGTCATCAGGCATTCTGTTCGGGTCTTATAAGGAATCATGTCTTATATAACAGGGAGTCTTGTAGTCTCTGATATCCAGGGTTTGCTATCCTTGACATGTTTCTTGACTCAGAGGAAAAATGAGAAGGAAAACAACATGCTAGACCAAATGTGATGCTTTCAGACTACAATCATATTATATCATATCTTCTATTAAATTCCATTTTCAGGCACACAAAATAATAGATAAAGAAAAAAACCCATTCCTTAGGACAATGGGTGTCCACTCCTCTATTAAATGCTTGAGGAAAAATATGAGAAATCACTGAGTTAGCATGGCTGTCCTTGGTGCTGAAATCGTTGATGTTAGACTTATGCAAATTTCTCCATTGTTATGAGGCTTCATTTCTACATGTACGTACAGTAGCATAATATCTATGTGTAAGTAATGAGCTAGACACCCGACTGACCAACCTAAGCTCTCTACTCCGGTGCAAAGAGTCAGATTGCGATAGCTGGGGAAAAAAAGGTCCCGTTCCACTCTATTGCAGAGCATAGGGGTGACGCCAATCTCCATTTCTGTAGCCCTTGGGCCATACAGTTGTGCAATCACTATGATGATATTGCCTGTTGCTTGCCTTGGTCAAAATAACTAAACTCACCACTTTGGGTCCAACCACTGTGAGCAAACTAGATAAGAGTCACATAACGCCACAGACACTGTAGAAATCAGCAAGAGATGTTTGAATAAAGAAACTGAAACACCGGAAGGAGTCCAACACAAACAAGTCGTCACTTAGAATCTTAGGTCTTAAGTCTCATTCCGGTTTGCTGTGGCTGACCTTATGAAGTATAATGCATCAAATATAAAACTACCGGTAGATTTACTTATCCGTTGATCATCTGAGCACTTACCTTCAACATCATGTTTCACTTTTTGCACTTTTTGATTAACATTAAACAAAAGGATACTGAGTTTTCATGGGTCGTATACAAAACAGTCAAGAGGTACATGTACTAACTATATGCTGCTTGACCACTGATTTGCAATAAGCCCCGTTGGTCACAATGACCTCACCACAACCCATGCAAGGATGACTCTTTTAAGCAAAAGACTCATGTGTCAGGAAGAATTACACAATCTTAATGAGTTCACAAATCGCTACAAGATTCCCACATCCACAGAAGCTATAGGTACGACAAACAACTGGCCAAATGGAAAAATGCGGCCGCGAAGAAGATCGAACCGGTCTACCTCAGCCTTGCTGTCCCTCTCTTGGGGCGTCTTCTCCGAAACGACAGCGAACGAGTGCAGCAAAGTCGCACGTGTGACATGTCGCTCTGTTTTAGATAGTCTAACTGGTGAAGTCAGAATGACGGGACTTGGTCAGTCTCTCGTCACCGTTACGTCTCCGCTGACTGCGCCCAAACGAAACGTCAGCATCACCTTTATAGCTTACCTGTTTACACCATATATGGCAAGCACTTAGTGTCCCGTGTTCCAAAAAATACCCGGAGATTATCGGGAGCGG